TGTTTATATACATATCGGTTAAACGATTTTAACGGTGTTGTTATTGATATAATTTTTTTTTACGAAGGGTTGCGAAAGATGGTGATTTAAAATCTACTCCCAGGCGGCATACTAATATTTGTGAACTCGGTACTGTCAAGAAGGGATATATTAAATTCGGAAATCGTGCGCTCGACTCGTATATATTATTGTTTAAGGCGAGCCTAGGCTAAAACAAAAATCAATTTATAATTTCTATATTTTCGTAAGTAATTTATAATCCTACCAAATACAGTTTTGTTTTTTTTTTTTTTAACTATAAATTAAAGACGTTTGTATGTAAAAAATAGCTATTCGTATAAATACAAATATTTTCTTATTCACAAGAGTTAGGTGGTATTAACAATTTACATTCGTCTGAGTCGAAACGGAAACGGCGGTCAGATGGCTAAATGGATGCGATACCAGAGAGCGATAATCAAGATTTCTGTAGGACTGCAACATTATAATTTAGATGGCTCGCGGGAGAAATTTGGGATCTAGCCTCGAATAGTCGAGAAAAAAGACGAGGGGGTAAACAATTAAGAAGATAAAACGAATTAATTAATCCTCTTTGTTTATCAGCTGCGAATTTGCATTATTCATATTTTGGTTTATAACATCCATGTATTTAACTGTATCATTCTATCAGTGGACATTAAGTATAGGCACGACTATAAAAACTCTTCTTGTACAGTGAAATAGAATGATAAAATATCTAATATTATAATATTCAAAATATCGGTACACTGTTCACATTATAACTATATCAACCGACTGAAAACATTCAAGGCTAAATTGAACACGATGCGTCTTATTACTATAATACTCAAATTAACTCAGGGAAGGACTGAATGAGCCTTTTAGATTAACGTCTATGCGTGGTGGTGGCATATAATATTTTATAGTCGAACTTCGAGAGGAATAATCTCCACGGTCTTATTTTATATACGATTTTTACCCGTTTATGTTTTGTTTACTGTTTATAAATTAAAATCGCAAACCTCCGTTTTAAATAAACACTAACAAATGGAATATGAGAGTAACAAACTATATTTGAAATGGGTTTTTATTTTTCTCATCAAAAAAATAATGGTACGGGGGTTTTTTTTTTTCAATTCAATTTTCTTGAATACATTTTATAATTTTATAATTTTTTGTTTTTTTTAGTTCTTCTTACATTTAAATAAACAATTGATTTTACTAACTACATAATACTACGAATAAGCTCTTGTATATTTGAGTAAGAAAATTATTATTATTATTTTTTTATATTAAATGAATTTATATTTTAAAAACATTCATTTTTTTTTATCCAAACATTCTTATACAAATAAATATTTAATTAAATAATGCACGGATATGAAAAAAATGTGCATTTACTTTTACCTAGTAATAAAAAAAAAAAATACATAAGTAATAATAGTTTGTATTCATTTATAACACTCGTGAAAACAGTGAACACAATTTAAAGCGGATTAAATATTATGAATAAACAACAATTGGGTAGGTAGTAAAACAATAAAACTAGGTATATAAATTAAAAACTCGTACGCTAGCAAACATAATATAATTGTATTTTTATATACAAAATGTGAATTATTAATATAACAATGATTTATGATTCATTTTGTATACAAAATGGTTATTTCGGAATAAGGTTTTTTATTTTTCTGAATTATTAAGCGCGTTTTAGCGATGCAGTTTCCGGTAAACGGTTTGCTGCATTGTTTGCTACTTGATTGCATTGTTACCCAAACGTTTTGTTTACTGAACAGTATTTAGCCAATGGCTAACCGGTAATCGAAGACAGTAAATGTGGTTTTAAATTGTTTGCTGATTCCAGCGAACTGGTCGTCGAAAAGTGCAATCAATTGTCAAAACGATAATGTAGTAGGTACACTGCAATGTATGTATCGTAAGTATATAATCAAATCAGGCATTTTAATAAATGCCTAGACATTTAATTAAATACCTAGACGTTAAATGCCCATTTCAAGTTAGGCAAATAATAAAAATGAAATGTTTCAATTTTAAAAACTAAACTATATCTTCTAATTCATTATTTAATGCTATCCTATATAAAAATTATCTGTAATTTATTAATATAAAAAATAAGTTAGTATAAGAAATATTTTTAATTTCGTGTCATAAGTTATTATTGTTTTGAAACTTACCTAAAATTATAAATGAATATAGGTAATTACTAATTAAGTATGGTACACGCATAAAAATCAATGAATAAAAATTTATACTATAATTACAAATTTTTCTAAGGTATTTAATACTTGTAATACATGTTTTATTTTGGTGGTATTTGCTGGAAAATTTAACATTTTTTTTTTAAAACACAAACATCAATTGTACTGACATTGCCGCTTTCTTATCATTTAACAAACGCCTAGACCGTTCAAATTTGATAAGTTTGCTACAGCTTCACGTATGAATACAAATTTTTCTTCGGGTACTCGGTTATCTTCTAAACCATGATTCGAATTTAATTTATCCGGTGTTCAGTATAGATAATATATAATAATATATAATACTTTTCAAAGATAAACATCTGTAGAACTTTTATTTTTATATTGTTGGATTAAATAATATTAATAAGAAAATATAGTTAAGTTTTTAATAGTATGTGAAACATTTCATTTTTATTATTTACCTGATTTGAAATAGGCATTCAGTTTAACGTCTAGGCATTTAACTAGATGTCTAGGCGGATAGTAAAATTAAATACAAATTAAAGTATTTGACTATTTGCCTAGGCATTTAGTAAAATACCTGATTTGACTATATTCTTACGACACAAATAATACAATTTTTCTGCCAGAAATCCTACTCCGATAGCCCGATGTATCAAGTGTAGCACCTTTTCTGAAAAAAAAATTTACACTTTAAGAAGGTCATCTTTTGATTTTCCAAACAATTTTCATAATGATTGAGAAAAATTGCAAAAAATTTAGAAAAAACGTAGGGATAAACGAAATAATTATGTCGTAAAGATTCCATGATTTTACATTTTTGTAAATGCTATGTTTTCTCTTAGAAATCTTGTTTCAATCAAAAATTGATAAATTTTTATTGATCAATTATAGATCTAGTTTTTCTTAGAGGGTCGTTAATTGTTTTTCTTAGAAATTTTCATAAAAATTAGGAAAAACCGTAAAATAAAAACTGACAAATTTACGGCGTAACGATTTCAATATTTTAAATTTCTATGCTTTATGTTTTCTACCAGAACATTTGCTCCAATAACAAAACGACGAGAGAGCATTATTGGATCTTTGTTTAGATCTTGTTAGTGAGTATTAAAGTGTTTTTTTTTTTTAATTCCCAGAGTAGTTTTTTTAATAAATGAGCAAAACCGAAAAAAAAACGTATAGATAGAACGGGAACTTTTACGAAATTAATGATTTTATTATTATTTACAGTTTTGTTTTTTTTATTTATAATTCAGAAAAAAATATCAGTAGAAACTTTAAAAATCAAACTTATATTCACCTTTTGTAGACGAGATAAAATCATCAAAACATTTGAACAATTTTTGAGCTATTATAGATATTTTAATTTTGCGAATTTTTTTTATGTAATTTTATTTTGTAAATATTCCATAGATAAAATTGTTAGATTAAAAAGAAATGCTTAAAAACTTAACATAGGGTTTATTGTATGTCGTAATTAATTGTCAAACAATTTTTTCTTATAAGAATTTCAATATCAAGTTTTGACGAAAACCGTAAATATTACGGTCTTTCAAAACACGTATAATGTGCCTATAGTTTTTAATTGAATAACTTTATGTATCCTGTCTTCCCGGTGACTTCTTATCTACAAAAGTGACCCACAGGTCGTGCGAAGTATGTGCGTCTTTTTTTAAAAATAATAAAAAAAATGTTATACAAATATTAAGCGTCGCATAACCCATAATCTATACTATCATACAAACATCCAGATAGATTAAATTACGCATTCAACCAATTCACCTTTCGACGGCCCCCGCATTTCATCGGAATATTTTTATATCGATTTTCATAATAATAATAATAATAAAAACATTACGGATTATAACCGACCGCGGTCGTGTAATTAGTTCCGAAGTTATTTTTACCGCCAGAGAATATATCATTATAGGTATACGTTCTTCTGACCATATACATAATACATGATAAAATACGTTATTTACTGATTATTATTATTTTTTTTTTTTTATAATAGGTATTATACGTATTGTGTCTGCGGGCAGGGGCGGAGTGAAAACCAAATTTAGACTGGAGATTAACATTTATCCGGGCTGCCCGATACAATACGCGCGTTTTAATTTGAATCAGTGACGGAGCCAGGATTTTGAACCGAGGGGTGTTAAACACTCGAAACACGGACGAAGATAAGAGTCGGCAGCGGGGGGGGGGGGGTTTCGACCCTTCAAAAATGTAGAAAAGCGATTTTATCAATACGCATTTTATTTTTTAATTGAAATGTATAAAAAAAAGTCTTAATAGGTACCGAAGTAAGAATATAATACTATATAATATGAATCTTGGCATAACTTTTTATCGAGTTATTAAATCTTTGGTCCCAGGAAAGAAGGGCTTAAGTCAATTTTCGGAATTTGTTTTATTGTAATTTTGTCTCGTGCAACTTTTCCCCTTTGTTTTTTGATTTTAATTACACAAATATAATAAGCGCATTAAGTGTATATTATAATGTATTTTCAAAATATTAGCGCATGTAGCGTTAGTGGAGGTTCGAAGTATTTTTATATTGAAGCACCGATATAATTTTCCACCCACTCATCCGAACCCGAAAATACCCCCACTCTACCACAAATGTATTAGAATTTGTTAAATTTCATTAAAATTTGTCAAATTTTCTTAATCTAAAATTCTTAAAGAATTGAGATAAAGGGGAATAGACGTACCGTGACTAATGCTTGGATATCAAACATAGACGGGCTCTCGATTGGTGAGTGGACGAACGCTATGAAAGCATCAATGAACTCTATGTTTAACCGTGGTACAGGAGATAGAAGTGTTGGCAATCGCCATTACAGGAATCTGGCCTGCAATGAGAATAATATAATTGAAACTTTGCCCCACATCCGAGTATCCTGCCCCAAGACTGAACTTCTTCGTAACAACGCTCATAACAAAGTCCGCACCACCCTGGCCGATCTATTTAGAGCGAAAAACTTTGAGGTACACGAAGAAGTGCACTGTGTAGCACACAAAGAAGGAGCAACTCAAAACAAAAGGGTAGATATTATAGTGGGGACCGAAGGAACGGACGAGGCCTCATCTTGGACTCCGCGAACTGTGTAATAAGGCAACTTGTGAGACAAAGTGAGCAGTCCGCTATATTTTTATTAATAAAGTTGTTTATATATGACTTGTTTTGTAAAAACATAATAACTTTCGTTGTATTTCTGAACACGCGCGGCCCACTCACACAAATATATCTCCTTCGAACCGCCACTGTGTAGTGTAAAAGTGCATAAGTATACATTATAGTTTATGTATTGAAAACTGTACAAAATAAACTCGAGCCGTTCTTCCCTGGGACCAAAAAATTAAAACGAGGAATTAAAATATTATGCATACGAGTATCGTGCCACCAGCTGGATTCGATTCGATCCAGGCCATCTGGAAAATTCTCATTTCCAGACCGGCCACTTCGTCCCTGTCTGCCGGACGTAACGCGAACTCTTCGTAAACGGCTCGTGGGGGTACATTATTTTATTTTAATTATACGGGCTAGACCCTTTTGAACATGCAGCATTAAACATTTGTGATAACAGAAGTCATTACGAAAAGTAAAAAAGTAGTTAATAACAATATACAATTAAAATAATACTTATAACATAGAAATTACACATAATTAGATTAATAAATCATTATGAAGGCATAATCCGCATTGGCAGATGACATGCGGGACATAGAAGATGGCCGTGCAACGAGTTGAGCGAGAAAGAACTTTGAAACAGGTTAGAGAAATAAGGGTAGGCGAATCAATTGTATTGTTCAGTAGACCCGCGAGGAATTTGTATTGTAAAAATGTGAAATTTTATTTGTGTGACAAAGTTTAGTATATTTATGTATGTTTTTTATTAGTAACCTATTACACAATCAATATGGTTTAATAAATTAGGTACTGATAGTATACGTTTTTAAACATTTAACGTAATAAAAAAGATCTTTCGGTGGAATTCGTAAGAATTAATATTCTTACGGTGGCGTTAAACAGTAAAAAAAGAACTGTCCGTGAATTCTTTTCAAAAGTATCAAAACCACAATAGTTTTGAAAATAGTGAATCAAATGTTGAAAATAGTAGCAAGGTAAGTTATTTTATTATTAGATAGGTCGTTATATGGTGGGGGCAGGGCCGTAGACACGAGGAGTTGACCCCTCCTTACAACACGGAAAGTATATATCCGTATTATTATGTATGTGTTATTTTTTTCAATTAACTATAATAATTAAGTATTATAGTTATTATGATAAACCCCTCCTCCCTATGAAAAATGTCTGCCTAAGGTACTGTGGAGAGGGGTGCAAGGCAACCCCTGCATGTACCGTATACTTCAGAATATGGGTGTACACCCAAAACAATATTTACGGTTAGGCCACTGCGCACAAGGAATCTTTAGTAATTTTTAGTGCTGCAGTACATCGACATAGGTTTAGCCGTCATTCAAACAGCTAGTTGCATCAGGTTGTCAAGTTTTGTGGACTCGTCGGCAGTGGACAAGGGAAAGTCGTTCACGGTGACCGCGGAATCGTCATCCGCGGGCCTCGGGCCCCGTGTACGTACAGGGAACACGAGCAACGCCACCGTTACCGCCGAGAGGCCGTGCACAAACAATAACAAATAAATACGTTTTCGGAATCGTCCGACACTGGTTTTAACTAGAACCCTATAGCTCGCGCCCTCAGAATAATTTTCCGAACAAACCGTCACAAACCCGAACCCGCGGGACCGCCTAATGGAATAGTCGAGTGCCGGAACCGTAAACACGTAAAAGGCGTACCGGTCCGCGATTGTCGCGCGTCGTGAAACGTTCGGTGAAAAGCTCCGCCGGTACTGTACGGCGGCGGCGGCGGCGGCGGTGTTACGACGTTCTGCGGAATAATATTACGGCCGCGGACGATTCGACGGCGGCGGCGGCGGTGGCGGTGCCAAAGAAAGACGGAAGACTTCGGCGGGACTCGCATTGCCGGCGCGGCCGTTCCGTAAATAACAGTGGTGAACGCGGAGGTTTTTGTCGCCGCCGCGGCCGCCGACCGGGTCATAAACAATCTCGGGTAATAAGGCGAGGCGGCCGACGGCCGACGAAACGGGGCAGACGGCCGCGCGCGCCGTTTTAGACGAGGACGTAATAAAACGGAATCGTCGTCGTCGTCGGCGCAATAACAATAATAATAATAATAATAATAATAATTATGCGGATTAGATTAAATATTTTAAACGCCGTGCGTCCGACCGCGGGGCCGGGATACGCCCGTAACGGATACCCATTACAACGTTATAATGTATACCCAATATTATTATTATTATTATTATTATTTTGTTATCGCGCGGCCGGCGGACGCCTTACGGGGGTCGGTGCTGCGGGCGGCCGCCGGCACACGAGACAGGTTGTAAATTAATAAACGATCGGGTATCGCGCGCGCGCGCGCGTAGGTATATAAAATCGTTTGATGTTGATGTTCTCGTCGTACGCGCATGCCGTCCGATAGTATTATTATTATTATTATTATTATTATTATTATTATTATTATTATTATTATTACACGAAAGACTATTAAAAGACTATTCGACAATAGTGAAGAAAAAAAAAAAAATTAAAAAATAATAATATTACATAGGTAGTATAGAAAAAGGAATTTCGAATTCTACACGGCGAACGTCTGTGAAACAAGCGAACGGGTGGGGGGAGGAGAGCGGAGGGGAGAATATAGGTAGCGGTGATTTAAGATCGCTCAAACCTAATGCTGCAACATTAACGGCGTATTGTTACTGCTAATAGAGTTGTTCAAGCGTATTTAACCGACTCCCTGCGGATATCAGACCGATTGAAAGTAATGCAATACAATATTGTGAGTATTACAATAATAATAGTCACTACGTACCGGTGACAGACGTACGCCAAGTGCGACAGCGGTGAACGGATAATGAGTGAAAACGGCGAGATACGTGGAAACGTTCTCTCTTCCGAAAATCGAATAAATAACCGGCCAGCGCTAATGCAACGGTGGGCTGGGCACGCGTGGCGAGGTTGTACGCAATAATCGTACGAGAAAAAAAAACAAATCCTACCCGAGAAAAACTGACGGCAACATAAGGTTCGAACGTGACGGGATGGCGCTCGCGACTGATTCCCCTAAGTAAAAATGAATGAAATGTCAAAAAAAAAAAAAAAAACCAGATTTACGGGTATATGTTTCGTGCGAATTCCGTATTAGATATTTAACCGAAAGATATATATATATATATATTATTATTTTTTTTTAAATCAAAAAATATTACGAAAAACGCCGCAGTCTTCGTCAAAATGTACACTTTAAAACGCTTATTAAAAGTAGAAAAAAAAAACAACGAGATATCAAACATATCTCCCGCGAGACCCGCATTGTTCCATTTGATATCTAGCTTGCGAGAAGGAGAGTATATTTTGTTGATATCCAAAGTGGTTTTACTAAAAATGCACGAAAAACCGGGAAATCCCGCGGGAAACACGGCCACCGAACGCGGTTCCGGGCGTAGAGAATATTATCTGAACTTGATTACGCGACGATATTGTGTGACGCGACGGCCGTTCGAAATTGTTTAATAGATCGAGAGTCGGCCGCGAATAATGCGGCCGTACAACGCGAAATGCGAATATTCGATTGAACGTCTAAAAATAGAGTTCTCGGGAAATAGTCCCGCGGTCGTCGACCCCGACGAGGGGCCCGTGCCGGGTTCGCTCCGGTTGTCGGCGTCCGCCCCCCCCCCATCACCCCCTCCGCCGCCGCCGTTCCGTGAACGGGACCGAATCGCGACGGGTAACGCGAAATGTCGGTGTTTGCCGGGCCCGCCGACGAAATCGTCAGGGAAACCGGGCGGGAAAAAAAATGCTCCGGCGAACACCGCGCTGCTCGTTACTATTTGACATCGTACGTTCCCGCGCGGCGCAACGTCACTGTGTTTGCGCCCGGTGTTTTCGTACGCGCGGCTCCGATTCGCCGCACGGCGCGTCGGTTTTCGCCGCGACGCTGTTTTCCCCGTCTCGTAACAAGACGGCGTTGAAACGCGGCCGTCAAAGTCGTCTTGGGGGCCGTTTATAAAAACGCGGGCTCGCGGACAATGTTTTAGCGGAACGTCCGGCCGGCGGCCGAAAGTCGACCCGATCAATTATTAAACCACCGTCGAATTTTCCTCGACGAGACACTTGCGGTCTGCCGTATCCGTCACGATTTGATATGCACATATCATTTGTTTCGTTAAACTGCAGGACGTTATCAGTTCTCTACTATTGTTATGTCAAAAAGTATCGACTTTTCTCGCAATTTTTCTTTCTATTTTTTTGGACAATTTAAAGTAACGAGCAACTCTAAAATGTAACATGTAGACGGTTTCTTTGTCGTCCTCATATTTGTGGGTAAAACTACTACTCACTTTTAGGAATTCGGTCGATATTTGGGACGGGTGTGCCACTGATTTTGAAGTTAGGGAGGCAGGCTATGCCCAAATATTAAGACAATTACGTGGAAAATAAAAAAAAAAACTTTCTTGCATACTAACAAGTTCTAATATGCAACCAAAAAGGGTCTCTTGTCGTTTTTTTATTGAAGCGAGATTTCTGATGGAAAAGTTGTGTTTACAGGGAGAAACAATGAAAAAAAAGGCACACATCATTGTCAAACCAAATTCCTCGCTCTATTCAGAATCTAAAACATATGATGTGCTGTATATCAAATTTGTATGCATTTTTTAAAAGCCAAAAAATATTATCCGAATACTAACTAAATAAAACTCGAACAATTCGAATGGCTATGATTCTATATTATAGAATCTTTGAAACTTGTTCTACGTTTAAGAAGTGCTTATAAGTATTCTGTAAAAATTCCATGATATGTCTGTAAATATTTTTAGCCAAATTACAACAAAAAAAACAACCGAAATCGTTAAGAACAAAATCAGTATCGCCACACGCTTTCCCGTTTTTCCTACGTTTCCCATTTATTAAAGAAAACTACAAGGAAATTAAATAACCTCATCAATAAACTTGACAACTAGACAAAATCAACCCAATACCTCTCATACGGTTGATAATCGGAA